AGGCTCAAGTTGGAGACTGCCCTTGTCTGTTTTTGCTCAAAGTTCCATTCCCTAGCTTCTAGTACAGCCTCTGGTTTGTAGTATGCTCTCAGTAATTATTTATTTAGGGAATAAAATGTAGCGAATTAAATCCTGACCTCTTTTTGGAGGGAAAAAAAATATCTTTTACTGTATAGCTAACATATCCAGAAATTCAAGTAAACTCCATAAATTTCTAGTCTTTGAATTTTTATTTTATCAAACTTTCTACTGAAATGTTATCAGAGTATCTTGGACAGATAGATGATCTTATTGTTTATTGATGGATTGAAGTAATGAAATAGATATAGTGGAGTAAATACATTTTATTGGAAATAACAGTCATATTAATATACTTAATGACTGTTGACAATATATGCCCATTGAAAAATCTCTGATACAAAGAAAACTTTAAAAATGACCTTTTTCACATATCTGGGGTGACATTATTGATCTTTTTGTGCCATCGTAACAGATAGAATATCCAATTTCTCCTAATGAAAATTTCTTTTGCTTTTGCCAGGTCATCCATCAAACATAGCTGGTAAGAAGTTTAAAATAAAAATTTAAAAATAATATCCACATAGAAAATAATTCTCATTCATAAAATGTTGATCCTAAACATGCCTCAAACGTTTTGCTCGGCTTATTATAGAATCCTGACTCCTATAACAATATGTCTGAGAGAGCTGACTCCCTTATCATGCATTAAAGACAAGAGTCCTGTGAACTTCAGGAAAGCCACGCTCTGTCTTCATAAACCTGCCTGCAAGGCATGCTGGGGCGCTGAAGTATTTGCTCCACTTCCTTTGCTCAAGAGAAGGCCCTGGCTGTGAACTTGGGCAAATATTACCTTCTGGCTTTACCAGCCAGGTAGGAGCAGCCTCTGAACACTGGTTCTTTGTGCTGAATTTGTGCTCAGAGGTGCAGGTTCCTTTGTTTCACCAAAGGGTGCTGGCCAACACCCTTGGAAAAAGAAACTGTTTGGAATAATATACTTTCTGCTAAAATGTATTACATCATGCTAATTAAAGTTGTTTATTAAGGACAAGAATGTACACGTGCCTTGCAGGCTGCTGTTGGAAGAGCTGCCTCCTGCAAGGGTTTGTATTCAGTTCCTAAGCAGGAGAAAAGCCTAACAGGTTTCCAGAGTGAAATCTGACCTGCATTCTCAAACTGAATTTGCACCTTTTAGAACACAGGGTTGGCATTTACTCACCTCTAAAATGCCCTGATTTCCAGCCTAGGACCTGAAATGAAAGTACTTCAAAAGCAACAATGTGGAACCATTTTTTTTTTTAAACTCAACCCACATGGAATAGTTACCATGTGAAGCCACAGAAGTGATGACCCCAGGCAATGAAACAGCAACTGGAACCTTAGTCATCTGAGCATGAAGCTCACTTATGCCAACACCCTTCACACAGGGAAGTTTCTAAACTCAGAGAATTCTCATCTGGTAGTAAGACATACATTTTATATTGATTACTGTGCTATTAATGTTATAACCTCTTACTTTATTGATCATATGTAGTTTTTATGAAATTTGCTAAGTAACCAAAATTTCCATCAAGCAGATTCTATTTTTTAAATTAATTTCCACTATTTTTATGTATTTCTGTGAAGAAAAAGAAAAAGCCCTTAAGTTGGTAATTCTGTCTTGTTTGCTAGAACAATGACAAGTACAGAGGAGGGGCTGGATCACCACATGTTAAGGGAATAAATGAATGGGGGTGTTGGCCAGATTTGTGGTGTGTTGGATATCACAGGCGGTCAGTAACATTACTATCATTTGTGGCCTTTATTTTGTAAAGATTTCCCCAGGCTCCAGGAATTGTGTTTATTCCAGGTGGTCCAAAGCCCTCAGACTTTAACCCTTTCTTACTCTGAGCCATGGTTCTTAGACTTCATTATGCATCAGAATCAACTAAATAGTTCTGGCGTGGAACCCAGGATCTGCATTTTTGTTGTTGTTGTTAATCCTCACCCTAGGATATCTTCAACCAAGAATCTTTTTCCATTGATTTTTAGATAGAGCAGAAGGAAGGGAGAGAGAGAGAGAGAGAGAGAGAGAGAGAGAGAGAGAGAGAGAGAGAGAGAAACATTGTTATAAGAGAGACACACTGATTCGTTGCCTCCCCCATGACCCCAACTGGGGCAAGGAATCAAAGCTGCATCTCAGGTACATGCCCTTGATCTGGAATCAAACCCTCAACCCTTGGGTCCGCAGGCCAATGCTCTAACTGATGAGCCAAACTGGCCAGGGCCAGGATCTGGCTTTTTAACAAGCATTTGATTGGGCTTATGGACCACATTTTGAGAAATGCTATCTGCAATTCAGGTGTTTGTATAAAGGCTATAGTATTTTACTTTACCATCTGAAGTTCTAATTAAAACATGGATCCTGGAGCCTGAAAGGGGCTCTGGGTTATAGAAGATAAACTATAGGTCCTCAGTTCGGTCAACTAAAAATATGACACAAAATAAGGGTCACCAGAATCACAAATCCTTCTCTGGAAATATCCTCCCCCAAAATATGTAGTTTTATTGTGACATACTTTACTTCAGGTCAATTATAAAATTGGAAAGCATATAGGTTCTCAAATTTCATTAGTTTTCTTTCTCCTCTTATATTCCTGATTATTAGAACATATTTATAAAAAATATTTTCAGAGGTAAAAGTATTATAGAGTGCTGACTGTAAGGCTATTTTGTAGGAAAGTGACTACTATGTTCTGGCTGAGAGCTGCGGCTCTGCTATTCAAAACAATTGTTCGTGTGCTGCTTTCATGATTTTGGCTAACACCAAGCAGCATCTGCTGTCAATGTTTTTTTCTGACTGACTCCTCTTTTAAGTAAGTTTTTATTTTTCATGAGCAAAAGTGTTTGTGAAATAAAAAAAATTCATGTGCTAGTTATATATTTCTAATGTTTTTCATAAGTGTTCAAATAAAAATCAATTATATGTTTCACCTCACATCATCCAGGTACCCCACCTTGGGAAACCGGATGCAGGAGATGCTAGGATTTACTCTCGAAGAGCTTAAAATCTACCTCAGGAAACTGAGCATCTGCTACAAGACAATAAAGACAAGGCAGGAGACATGAGTTGTTGGTGAGAGAGAACGCTCATCAAACATTTGTAGGAAGCTAATTTTTGTAGCAATAACATTAGATTTATTTGTACTCTTTGATCCAGTAATTCCACTTCTGTGAACTAGCCCCTGTGTATTAAAAAAATTGGAACCATCCTGAAAGTCAAAATTAAAGGAATGATTATATTATGATACTTGTGTATCATTGAATGCGACAAAGTCACTAACATCATCTTTAGAAAGATTTTTTAATGGCAAATGCAAATATTTTTAATATAATGCAAGGTGTGTAAAATAAGATAGAGTTTGATCTCAACTATGGTAAATAGAATCCTTAGAAGATGGGGAATATGACAAAATTAAACAGAATATATTTTTCCTTGGTAGTGAGATTATGGATAATATTTACTTTTTCAATCTATACGTTTTTATATTTTCTCAGTTTTATAATTATATAAATATAAATATATAAAATATAACAATTTATCAAAGTAATCACAGTTCATAAGTATTAGGAAATAAATATTTTAAAAGAACAAAAAACCAAAGTAATTAGCACAAGCTAATTAAAATCTTACTGCAGTTCAGGGACGATTTCATGGGGAAAGTGAAAAGCTGAGACTGGGAAACAATAAAATACTTCAAAAGAAGTTGAATTGATAACCACTGTAAAGGATGGGTGTCTATGTCACAGAAGTTCATGATTTTCTTTCTGTGACCACACAGATGAACAAACAGAGGGGATGTGGTGATACGGGATAGAAGTTACTATTGGCTTGTCATTGCTACAGAGAGATCGACCTAAATCTCTGAACTAGAAACTGAACTAGAAACTCTATAAAGGTGGAAGAAAACCATTCTAGAGAGAGGACCAGGAGAAAAAAGAACCTAGAGAATAAAGAGAAATTCATGCAAACCAATGGTGAGAATTAGCCAGAATAGAAACACCCCTGAGAGCAGACAAGAGACAAGGACAGCACAGGGGCTTTTACGGCATTTGTCTTGAAGTTTTGTCAGGGAAGAGAGGTGTCGCCAGGGTGTGCAGGCAGAGGACTGTGGACTGAGGTTACCTGGTACCTGTATAGAATATATTTTAATCTGATCACAAGGGTTAGTCTAGAGGTTTGAATGCTTCCTCAGGAATTCAGGAGGTAGAGCTGCTGTGTCCCAGCTGACGTCAGCTAAGGGACAGTGGTTGTCACCTCGGAGGTTGTAACGGTGAGGAGGGCCCCAGGCATGGTTTAGCAATGTCCTGGCAGAGGCAGATGGGAGTCATGATTTCATAAGCTGAATTGAGTCATGCAGAGTTGAATAACAGGAAAATATGTACATGGGTTTATACATTCTTCTTTTATACGCTGTACTTTTCCTTCTCTGAACTTCCCTCCTGGTGTGGCAAATTTGTTTTCCTGGTTGGTTAAATGTACACTGCACAGAAGGAGCACTAGTATAGACCCAGGGCTGCTGTCTTTGGAGACACTGCTTGCTCTTCTGTCATTTTTTGGGGGAGGGGGAAAATTTGGGGGAACTTCTTGGGACAGGAAACCCTGAGTTGGACTCCTGGGCTAATTCTTTGGATAAATCACTTATGAGTAGCCTTAGATCCTTTATTGCTGCTTCTGAGAATAGTACTAACTACTAAAATAGGAATTCAGCCTTTGGGGAAATTAGACCACCATTTATGGAATAGAGTGATTGTTCTATGAAAGGCTATGGTTTAGCAGTCTTTAGGAACATCTTTATTCAATTTCTCATTTAATGTTTCAACTGGTGATTTATATTATTGATCGTGTTGTTCAGATATCATGCTTAGAATGACATAGTGCTGGGGTATAATCTCCAGATGACTGACTGCTAGAATAACATATAAGACAGATACATAGTTACCCAGTAAGGAATGTCCTCTCATTCACGAAGATCCAAGAAGAGCACTGGTGGGCCATCATAGTCACCTTTTCTCCCTTTTTGAGGTCATCTAAGGATACCCTAAAACATTAGAATCATATTAATGACATGTTACTGTGATGCATTCATAAATCAGTTTCTGACTTAAATTGAATTTTCTTGGTGTGTCATCGCTAGTGTGTAAAAGTATTTGGGGGGGGGACTGTTTAAATAGTGTTTCATGTATGGACATAAGGGTTGGCTTGGGGAGGGAAGGAAAGAGAAAATATTTTTTGTCATGTGTCTACTATGGGTCTTATACTGTTTGTGAGACTGTATAGACCTTATCTCACTGAATCTTCAAATCTCCCAGCAAGGTCTGCATGTTATTACCTCCATTTCAAACTCTCAGTAAGTAGTGGAGCAGATCATTTGAAGCATAACCTAAATGTCTTCAATTCCTCTGCTTTTTTCCTTTTCACCAACGTTGTTTTTGCAGTTTGTAAAAGGTTATATATAGATTAAAATTTTTTAATTTTTCTATAAATCAGTCTATGCTAAGATTCTTTTCAAGGACTTTTTTTCCTATTTCTAAGGGAATTAATGCTGAGAAAAATAAGATGTTCTCTAAAATTTTTAATTGTAAGAAAACAAGGTTAGAGTTCAGAGTTATAACTAAAACTCACTTTGAGTGAGTTTATAAATGGCCTCCTCCAAACCTCTTTTTTATGATTACTCATAAAATAATTTGTTTTGAGAACAAGTAATAATGTTTAAAGATTCTCTGTTCCTATTCCTCAATATGTGCTTTTGAGAAAAATCTATTGTGTCTCTTTTGATATCACCTTCCATTTTAAACTGAAAATTATATTCTTCATGTAATTTAGGGGGAATAGTAGTAAAGGAAGAGGAACAAACACATTAATTTTGACAGTCTCTAATTAAAGACAATAAAGAGGGCATTTGAAGAAATATTAGATAAACCACAAATATATGAACTTGACAAATGGTCTCCCTCAGTAATCAATTTGAGAAACTGACAGCTGTGGGGGGGGGGGAGGGAGAGAGAGAGAGAGAGAGAGAGAGAAAGAAGACAGGGCAGAACAGTAGTTCTATGAAAGTAGAGTACAAACCACTACGTTGGCCCATGATAATGCTAATAATTTGCAAATTTATTAGTGAAATTATGGGTCCAAGTTATGCTGGTAATCACCTTACAGTTGATGACTGTATTACCTACACTCCTGGTAATGAATGATTTTAGTATGTCCAAATTTGGCATTACTCCTATCATAAAGAATCTTGTTTCTGAATTTTTTCTATTTGATTTGGAATACACTGTAAGGATTTTTTTTCCTTTTTCAATTTATCTATAGTTCTGATGCTACCAGGTTTTAGCGATTTAAAAGTTATCCTCCTGTTTCATCTCTCTATAAATGTGCTTAGAAGCACATTACTGAGAAGTAGAAAAAGAAAAAACGAGAAGGCACATGAAGAATTCTGCCCAGCTGAAGTAACATTTCTGAAGTCTTGCTAGTTATATGTTATAGTAAGATATTTATGAAAAACATTGAGATGTCTTGCTGTTATTATATTTTAAAATAACATCTACAGAGACTTGCAGAAAAAAATTGTCAGCTTTAAATGTCTATTGACTTAGCAACTCAATGTTATTTTCTCTAAGAAAATACTAAATCCCAAAGGCTTCTGTGGTCCCCAAACAGGCATTTTTGCAATTGCTGACATTTTTGTGGCAATGTGGGAACACAAGATAGCTGTAGCAGAGGACAGATCCTAGGGCAGTGTTTGGGGGTGTGAAGAAAACAGAAAACTGGACTAGGTACACTGAAAAGTACAGAATGTAGGAGCCCAAGGCAAGGAGGAGTGGGACAATTTGGTAAGTCTGTTTTTGGAGTGTTTCTAGAAAGAATTTTCTCCTGTAAGATTCTGTGTAAGGAAACATATTCCTTCTATGACAGAAATTCAATCCAAACTGGCTGGACCCTGCCCATTCCTGCAAACATGACTTTAAGTTTTTAGGCAGCTAAAATCAAGCTCACACTCGCAGGGTTGACTAAGTGTGATGTAGCATCACCGACATCTCCTCAGGCTCTGGAAACTGTGGTCAGATATAAATAATATCCTCCTTTAGGTTATCATATAAATGACATTAAGTTATAGCCAGAGATTTTAAGTAAAGTAATTTCTAGTCATTCCATCTTGCAGAAATTGAATATTTAATTACATTGCATCAAGCCTGTAGAATCACAAGGGATATAGCCGGAATTAAAAGGTAGGCTGGAGAGAAAAGATCAATTTTTTATTTTAAAAAAGAGGGGGTGGGATTTCCTTCTTTCCCTTCTGAACTATATTATTTTAGTTGGGGTAGGGTGTGTGGAAGACTTTTCATGTTTTTTTTTTTTTTCTCCAGGAGAATAGCAGTCCAAAAACAAAGAAAAAAAAGAAAAGCTATTCTCACAAAGTTTCAGATCCATATTTTTCCTTATAGCACATTATTAGTTTGAAATCCCATGATCTACTTGAAATCTAGGAGCACATCTCACAAAGCATATTGTAATAGTCTCTAAGTTGAATAGCTGACTAGTTTCCCATTATGCTTTTACATTCTGATCTCACATCATCTTCTTGTTCACAAACCTTCCTGGGATCTCATTCTTAGCAAGTGTAACCCAGGTCCCTTAAACTGATATTCAGACTTTCTGCAATTGCACTCAAACCTACCTTTTCCAACTCAAACTTAAAACTTTTCTTTAATACCAGACCTTCTATTCTAGTGGAATCTCCAACCACTGAGTCTTCTCACTTCTTTCTTTGCACAAAAGGACCCTTGTCACTTCAGGTTCAGATTTCTGCTTCCTTCTGGTCCCTGCTCAAGTGGGGCCTTATCAAATCTCCCATACCTATTATCTACACTCTTGTGATGCCATTTTCTGCATTCAACTTTGCATTGTTATTCTTCTTATTATTATTGGTATGTATTATTATTGGTATTATTATTATTATTATTATTATTATTATTGGTACGTATTTGGTTCCTAGCGGGAACTAAACCTGGGACTCTGGTCGGCAGACCGATGCTCCAACCACTGAGCCAAACCGGCCAGGGCTGCATTGTTATTATTGATTTATGTCTTTTCTAGTTATATCTTCTTGCTCAAAGAATGTGTTCCTCTAGTTGGGAATGCCATCCTCTTTGATAGCACATTATTTGGAGGACGGGGATCTCATGGAGAGGACTCAAGCCAGGAGGGTCAGAAGCTCAGGAAACTGGGCAAACTAACTCTGTCGATCAGAAACTACATGAGCATTTTAGGCTTCCTTGGGACAGAGACACAGCATGCTCCATGAGCTCAGCAAATCCCAGTTATTCATTCATAGGATTTAGTCTGGGTTGTTTGATTATACAGCTCTTGCTCTTGTTTTTAAAATCTGAGATTTATCCTTAGATTAGTCATTCTATTCACCCACAAAAAAGAGTTATTGATACACCCATGTAAGATTTCCCCAGTGGTCACCTTGCTGTCTAAACACTATCTTCTCCATCCTGAATCCAAAGTATTTATCATCTAGTCCTTTAATTTACCCCTCCTTGCACCTCTTCTACATTCTAGTAGTTCACTTTCTCTCATTATTTTCTCTGCCTCTTAGCAGCATTTGACAAGGTTGACTGTTCCCTCCTTTTGAAATGCTTTTTTTCTTAAGGCTTGTTAAGCAACCACAACAACTTTGCCTTATTTTCTTGCTGTTTCATTGCCTCAACATTTTAGCCTTCTCTGCGGACTCCTCTAACAATCATAAAACGTTGACGTGTTCTGTCCTTGGCCATCACCTCTCTCTGCACTTTCTTCCAGGTAATTTAATCCATCTCCAGCCCAGCCTCGCAGTTGAGCTCCAGACCCATGTCACTGTGTACTTACAACTTTGGATGTCTAACAGCCATCTCAACAACACTGTGGCCAAAACAGAACTAACTGACAACCCATGCCCCAAATTTTTCCCTATCTGCCCAGTTAAGCACCAAAACGAAGATCAGTCTTATTTTTTCTTCTTTCATCATATCTAGATTACAATCCAGAAGTAAGTTCTCTTGATTGTACCTCCATATGTAACCTGAACTCAAAAGCTTCTGTTTCCAGAGCTACTACTTTGAGCCAAGCCACCACTGTCTTTCTCCTGGATTATTTCATCAGCCTCCTGACTCGTCTGCCTGCGCCCACATTGTGGCCAGCATTCCATTCTCCACATCGCATCTAGGATGGTAATTGTAAAGATCAAATCATATTTTGTCATCCCATAATTAAAACCTTACAAAGACTTACAAGAATGAACTAGAATAAAATACAACTTCCCTATGATTACTCACAAGGTCCTGTCAGTCTTCAGTTTTCACTCCCTTCATTCTTTCCCTCACTGATTCCATCTCATTTACATTGGCCTTCTTTCTGGTTTTCAGTTGCCCCCCTAAGTTCATCCCTGTCTCAAGGACTTATACTTGCTGCTCCTCCTGATTGGAGCACCCCCTGGCCCAGACTGTCACATGACTGCCTATTTCCATCTCGGAGATCTCAGCCCCTGTCTCTTCTCTCAGAGGCTTTTCCTAAGCAAGACACCATCACTCGTACATTGTTTTGATCTCAGTTACATATCACTACCTAAAAGGGTCTTGTTTATTTACATTGTCCATCTCCCCTAACTACAAGATCAATTTCTTATGATAGAGGCCTTTTAAAACTTACATGTGTACATCCAACTATTAGAATTTTGCATGGAACATGAAAGAAATTAGGCTAATATTTGTTGACTGACTGACTAAACATAAAGTTGCAGATACGGCCCAAAGGATTAGGGATTATTTATAAAACTTTTCTAGACCTCAGTTATAATGATATTTCAGCTGAGACTAGAAGTTGGAGATATTCTGAACTGAAGAACCACTGATGGAAGCCTCTTACCACCACAAAGAGCAAATTGACAGTGATGGGTTGAAGAATCCCTGCAGGGTCTTTCCTGCTTGGCTTCCTACTTGCATTCGTAAAGTAGCTGAGGTATCACTAAAGATGGCAAAACAGTGTTGTAAACTC